TGCATTTGCTGAGCTTTTGAGAAAAACTTCATTAGTCACTCTTTGCTGCATCCTGTAGAAGTATGCTTGATAGTTGTAGAGGTCCTTGCAGTATCATCTCTGCAAGCAAGAAAATATCAACTCTAAATAAGAGTTGAGAAAAACTAATGTTAAATAGTAACTTAATATCTGGAAGAATGGACTTCAGGTTTGAGATAGATGCCACGTATCTTTTTGAGAAAGAGAAATAAAGCCAGACCATTTTTTCCATTAACTTTTTTTTTCTTTTTTTTTTTTTTCCTAGTGCAGCGAGAGTTGACACAGAAGAAAACATTCACTAGCTGGATAAATTCAATATTGGCAAAGGTAAGAAGGGGATTCTTTAGGAAATACATGCTTTTTGCCTTTTTGGTTTGGATGTGCTGTATGGAGATAAAAATTTTTAGGAATAAACAAAATTAACATAAGATTTTTAGGCACTGGCTGGAAAAAGTAGCTCGTGGAAATCGTTTGTTTAATAGGTGCAACAGCATTGTGTTGATGATTGTCCAAGGACATTTGTAAGAGACGGTTTGTAAGTAGATGACGGTATCTTTCTGGCTGATGTGTTAAAACTTAATTGTGCTGGATTATGGCACAAGTCTCAGCGATTTATGAGGTTCTCTGTTTATGATTAGTTTTACTATGTTTGGGGAAGTATTATTCCATTATGTAATCCAAGAACACGAGTTTAATGGGATGACCTGAGTGACTGCTAAGTATTAAGAAAAACCACATAGTAGTGTAGGTGCTCTAAGCTTTCACAAAGCAGCTCATGCACCATGTGCTGGAGGTCTGACTTACTGTTTTGGTCCCTTCTTGAGCAGAAGCTGCTGAGCTCATGGTAGGTTTGTGTTGTCCACAAGTGGGTGAAAAGAGTGAGGGTTTAGTTATTTAGCTCTATAGTCAAATTTGTATTTGGGGTACCTTGATCAAGAAGTCAAAATATGAATTAACTGCTTGTCTTTCCCTTTGTCAAAGTTTTGGGGTCTTTTACCACATACCTCCTTGAAAAGTATAAATACTTGAAAATGAGGCCTAAAATAACCCTTATAAAACACAGAGGCAGGGGAAGGGGGAATAAGAGACAAACACAATAATGGGTCAGAAGAAGCAGGATATGGAGTAGATGCAGGATTTATATTTCATATTATTGAAAAAATAAAGGATGCTAAACTTTTTTTTTAACAACAGAGTTATCTCTGATGTTCTGTAGTGTGTTGAATTCAAAATGATAAAAGATGGTGTGACAAGCATTGATATTTGTTTTACAGCATACACCTCCTTCTGTTATCTCAGACCTGTATACAGACATACAGCAAGGACATTTGCTTTTGGATCTGTTGGAAGTGCTTTCAGGTCAACATCTGGTAAGACAGAGTGATAAAAATACTACCTCAACCCTTCATCAAATCCAGCAGATTTCTGGATATGCTTAATTGTAACCATATAAATGGTCCTTCTGGAGTCATAGAGCTATAGGTGTTTGCAAATAACTTATTCTTACAGCACTGACACTGAAACATAGTGAAATAAGTTGATCCAAAGTAATTTGTGAATCTTTGCAGAACTTCCCTTATCAAAATACAAAATAAAATTAATTTTTACAGCTGAGAGTGTAACCTGTTCTTTTTGCTTCACAGCCACGGGAAAAAGGATTTAATACCTTCCAGTGCAGAAGTAACATAGAAAATGCTTTGACATTTTTAAAGAGCAGATCAGTGAGTATTAACTTTGAAATTCACAACGAAAGCCAGTGGAGCTGGTGGAACATTTTCTTTGTTAACAATGATCCTATTTTTTTTCCTCTAGCTCAAGCTCATAAATATTCATGTTGCTGACATTATTGAAGGAAAACCTTCCATTGTACTTGGCCTAATTTGGACAATTATATTTCATTTTCATGTAAGTATTTCAGCTATGTAAGAGAGTTTTAGCAGAGGGGAAAAGCACAAAAATGTGTTGACTTGCATGGTTGCCAGACAAGATGGGTTAGTACAAAGCAGAAGATTATCTTCTGACATCTGGAAGTGACAGCTCAGGGAGGAGACGCACCAGTGCACCTTTCTGGCGTCTCTGAGCAGCTCCACCAATGCAATGATGGCATTACAGCCTGATGAACAGTATCTAGCTCCAAATGGTTGGAAGGAAAGATATTGAGATGTTTTTAAAGTAACCAGTTAAAAGATAGATTAAACTTTGCCTATCTGTCTAAGGCCTGTAATGATTAAGCACCAAGTAGAGCAAGTAGTGCAAAGTGGCTCACTTCCATCTCCCTCAGAGGCAGCCCCCTTCGTCAGTGTTGGCTGTGCTCACAATGTGTAATTCTTGCTACTATTGTTTTCAGCACCAGGTGCCTGAAATAACATGAAGGCTGTCGTAGTGATCTTTCTTATACAAGATACTGAGCATGCATCTTGCGTGGCGTGAGGTTATGGGGAGGTTTGAAAGCACAGGGCCTCGCTTTAATCATGTTGTAGGACTGTAGAGGATGATGGAGCCAAACGGTCTTCTAGCCAGAGCCCAGCAGTGAATTAATATCGGTGGACTGGGGGTGAACTGGTGACTGGGGCTCAGGAGGGCACTAAGAAGCAAAGTTATTTAACAGTATTGTAGCCCACATTTTCCTTCGGTAAAAGTACTTTGGTGCTGAAGATTCCTGTGCTGCAGATAGCCTATGCATTATCTTTTTACCTAAACCAAGCTTCTTTAACCAAATGTAGATCTCTGAAGTCTATCAAGTAGGTGTTCCTGCACCCTGAGTGAGCAGGGAAGCTCTGAGCATGCCTAACATGTGGCACTGTTGACAGCAGAAAACACAGCTGCCACAGGCTGCTTTCACTGGTGGGAGGAGTAGAAATGCACATTGAGTGAGAAGGTCCCTTGAAGCCATTGCTGGTAGCCACAGTATAACATGGAAATCTTTGGGTGAATGTTCGCTGTCAAAAAATCACCTGAAGTTGGGAATTCAGCATAAAATAGGTTGAACAGACAAGAGAACCTGATCTGATCTTTGGGTGCAGGGAACTACTATTACAACTGTCATTGAGTCCTTTCTAATTCTCTGTTTTCTGCCATTGATGTCTTGGTAGTTTTTCACTGAAGCCTGATTAACTCTCCCATCATCTCTGACAGATTGAAGAACTTGCCAGGACACTTGCTTGTGCTTACAATCAGCCTTCACTTGATTGTTCAAGTGCTGTTGACTCCTCTCCAAAGGCAAGCCGATCAGCTAAAAAAAGTGCTAAAATTAAGGAACGGTGGAAGATCTCTGCTACAAAGGCTCTTTTGTTGTGGGCAAAAGAACAGTGTTCACTGTAAGTTCCATCCAAGACTTATAAATAGTGTGTTACATCTTGTATTTACAGCTTTCTTCTAAATGTAGTGATATTTTGCCCTCTTTTTTTAACATTACTTAGTGACAGCATAGCAGAAAATCCTTTAGATTTCAGAAGTTGTTACCAGTACTTTTAGCGTCAAACAGGCCCTAAATGTTTTGACATGAGCGCTTTAAATATAATAATATGAAGCTAATCCTACTAATAAAATACCACAATGTAAATTGAGTTGTTTGGCTTTTCTCTTTAAGGGGCTTCTGTGTGATAAGTCTAGTGGAATCTATACATTGTTTGCTAGTTTTAATCCTCATGGTTGGCACTGGTTAACAAAGTTTCAATAATTTCTTTTTTAAGTGGGAAATGCAGGGTTTCTAGAATTCCCACATCTTGTGTTTTTTGGTCAAAACACTGCATGATCCCCAAGAAGGACCCTAGCCCTAGAGGTCCTAGTCCCCAATTCTATCAATTATGCTTGACGTACAGATAGCTCTGTTGATTTCAGTGGGATATTCATGAGGTACAATCTGGAGCAGATACAGGTATTTCTTGCAAGGGACAAGCTTCACATTTTCTTCAAAGGCTACTGCTTCGCTCCAGGATGTTTCAAATATGTTTTACAATAATGTCATCCCTTTCTCTCCAGCTCTTTGGTTGCTTTATGTTCTAGGAGCATCCTACTAATATTCTGTGTTCTTAGTGGGAGATAAAGGCCTTCATCAGCACATCAGACACTTTCTGCTGGGAGAATGTTTTCAGGCACTAAAGTTTCCCTTTTAGCTGTGTTTTATCAGGACAAGATTGATTGGCATGTAAAAACCAGCTCTCCGTCCATTTAGTCTTCCTCTTGCTTTTGCTTGTTTTTCTTTTTCAGCGGTATTGCTGTTTCGTAGCATCCTTTCTGAACTGTGATTGAGTTGAACGATTTTGTAATCAGCGAATCTTACGGTTTTTGGTAAAAGAACAAATCTTATAAGTCCTGGCCCATTGTTTTGTGACTAAATTTGATCACCTGAAACTCCATATCTTTTCCATGCCGTGACGTGCTCCTGATATACGGGCTGTTTCTGGAAAGTTGTCCCAGAATTCATTGTGGCTTGCAGAGCTGGGCACCTCACAGCATTGTCCAGGCACAGCTTAATAGAAGATGGTGTAAAAACACTAAGCTAAATAAGAGAAAAAGGAATATTTTTTTCCTGCAGTAATAAATCACTTTTAAGGTCTGGATTTTCTGAAATGCCAGAGGTGATTCCAATACTTGGTGCACTTACAGTCAAATACCTACATGTTCTTCAGTGCTTTGCTTGTTATTTTTCCATCCCGTGGAATGCAGAGGTATTAAGCACAAAGGCGATGTTCAGAAATTATACTGGATCAGCAAGGCTTTATCTTCAGAATGCAACATAAGTTAAAAACATTGAGGCATTTTGCAAAAATAGTATAAAAATATATAATTGTAGCATTTGGTAGTACTGACTGTATTGTGTGACCCAGCTTCTCCAGAAGTTCTGTGGCAAGGTTCTCTATAACTTCTTGGATTTGGTTCATATTCCATTTTACTGAATTTATATTCTATTTCTAAATTTCTGCTTAGGATGTCTGAGGAAACAGGCTGTAACATTTTGTTTCTAATAATTTTTGGGATAGGCATGGCTCTATCAATGTGACTGATTTCAAGTCCAGCTGGCGAAGCGGACTGCCTTTTTTAGCCATCATCCAAACCCTGCGACCAGGTCTAGTTGATTTGGAGAAGGCAAAAGCTAGAAGCAATAAAGAAAACCTGAAAGAGGCTTTCAGAATTGCAGAACAGGAGCTGAATATTCCACGGCTTCTTGAACCTGAAGGTAAATGATCTGCTTTTTTTTAAATCTTTGTTATCAGGAATGAGATTAATGTAATCCTGTATGTGTTGACTTGTAATACAGGAAAAATAAGAATGTGCTTAAGTTTCAAATGGAACATTGATCTTTACTGTAATGCTCAAACCTGATGTTCTTTGTTTTATAACACTGACCGTACTTAGGCTTTGTAGGATTTTTGAATTGGCAGCAAATGCAGGAACAATATGCAGAAAAAATGATATGAAACTTTGCTGTTCATGGGATAAACTTTTTCGTTAGTTGATCATATTATATTAGAATATTCCCAAGGAAAAAAAGTGTTCATTACATATTAATTTTTTTCAACATATGTTAACTGAGCTGCTGCAGAATAAACATGTTTATGGTTATGCGTTTTAATAACTGCAGTATAGCGTGTAATTATGTGATCAGGCCTAGAAGGCTGCATAATTATGTAAATGGTGTATTGGCTCTTGTAGATGTTGACATTATGAATCCGGATGAAAAATCAATCATGACTTATGTGGCTCAGTTTTTGCAATACTCCAGGAATTTACCTGAGTGTGAAGAAGACATGCAGGTATGTGATGTAGTTTATCACTGAGGCATTTTTAAATGAATGTTCATCACAGATGCCAAGAATATTGGTACCTTCTTTGCCCAGTTTATAACATGACTCAGTAACAGTTATAATGTAGAACCTCTGATTCAGCTGCTGACAGGGCTGAATTGGCTTGAACCTTCCTGTGTGGTAGTCAAGACTCGATGTGATAGATTTTCATGATACAGGTGGAATCGCTGTGCTGGTTGTCTTGTTTTTTCATTTAACTATTACAGAGGACATTTTCAAGCCTGATTGCCTTCGTGTGTGCTCTGAAGTCTCTATGTAAATATTGGGGTAGAGGCAGACAGATTTGCAAATGTGCAGAACAACCAGCTTTAAATTTAATAGCTGACATGTAAAGTGGACAGAAGTTGTCACTCACAGATCACACTGGTTGGAAAACCAAGTTTTCTGTTCTCTGTATTTTCCTGTGAGGGTCTATGTATTAATTGCATAGTCGCACATCTCCACACTGATAATCTCCTTTCTGTAGGACTGCAATCAGGCTCTTCTTTTGAGATGCCTTCATATACCCAGGTGCCAGCTTTAAAACTTTGGCCTTGCTCTAGAATAGTGCCTGACCCCAAATTCATTAGAGTCCCCAGGAATTATTATTTGTTTTTCAATAGCTTTGAACAGGGTTTATCATATGCTCAATGTGTGTTGTTTTATGGCACGATGTAAATTAAAAACAAGGCTTGCAAAATGGAAAAATGAGATTTTCTGCTCCAATTACCAGGAAAAAGTAAGAGAGGCCATGAGCTGGTTGGCTGCACAGGAGAAGAAGTTAGCAAAGCTGCTGATCGACACAGAGAATGAAACATATTACCAGAAGTGCAAAGTAAGTTGTATTTCATATTTAACTGCTTCTGCAAAAAGAAGCTATGTTTCTGGGAATATTTTTAACATTTTTCATCTTCATTGCCTAAACTGAAGCATTAAATAAACTTTTAAACAAGTGTTGGAAATTTGACAATGAATTTGGTAAATGCCCTTATATGATTGAGGGAAGGATAGGATGAAATTCTTTCTTTTAGGAAAAAGGTATATGCTGCTTGGTTTCTGAGCAGAGTAAGTTTTTTTTTGGAGAGAGTAGTGTCTTTTAATTAATTGACATAGTTGAATAATTGGTCAAGATTCAAGGACATATAGGCCCTTTACAGGGTTACCTTTGCCATTTCTGTGACAGGAGTAACAGTAGGTTTTACCCAACTAATGTTGTAGAGGTGTAGTTGAAATGTTGGCTATAGATTGTGCTGAAATAAAAATTTCCTTTGGTTTATATTGGAGCCAGAGTTTGTAATAAAATGGCCTATGGGGGACTGTGAGGGAGGAGTTTTCCCTTTCTCTGGGTGGGAGGGGAGAACCATGTCCTGACTGCACTGACACTATATTAAATACAGATTTTGCCAGTGAATGGCACCTATAATTTCAGACCCAAATACTGCCTGGAGACTAGTATGCCTCTTTCGTGCTATCTTGCCTTTCCATTCATCACACCCTTTGAAGTTAATGGAAATCATACCAATATGTTCAAAGGCAGTACTTGGCTCCATGAGCTTCCATCTGAAGTCTTCTATGAATTACTCTTCTGTGAATTACTCTTCCTCATTGCCTAGGAAATGATGTCATTTATGGAAGCATTTAACCAGGAAAAAAAACCCTTTCTGCCTGTGTTGTCATCAAAAACAAGTGGAGCTGAGCAGAGTGAAGGCCAGCAGCAGATGAGAGAAGAGTGGGATAAACTGATCTCTCAGGTCAGAGGCATTTCTAGCTCACCTCGTTACCAGCATGGGTGTGTTTGATGAAGAAGCCTAAGTCTACCCCAGGAACTCGCACAGGGAAAAGTGGGGAAGTGATACTTTATTTGGATTGATAGAGGATGTATTGACCCTGAATCTGAATTCCAGACAAACTGAGTGGTGTACAGTGCCCAAGAGGAGGCAGAAGGTGGCTATGCGTTACCCTTCTGCCTCCTGAGCCTCAGGACTTTGAGACATCTGTGAAAAATGGCCTGCATCTAATGATCTTTGAGCACTCTTCTGGTCAAAGTTTTTTGCCTGTTTGTGCTTAAAAGGTTCTTTTGGGAAAATTATGGTTCAGATAATGATGCAGCTGGGAAAATCGTGTCAATATGTTCTTTCCCATGGCAAGGATAGTGATAAAGGGAGATCTTGTTGGTCAGTGCTTTGCAGTGGGGTTGTCTGTGTAGTCTCCCTCTGCTGCAAATGGGGATATATTGGGCTTTGCTGGTAATTGCTCTTTATGGAAGGGATGTTCCCTTGTCAGCCCCATGATGGAAAGCTGTCTGGAGCATCCCTGTTTCCCCTCTATTCTGCAACTAGTTTACTACAAATTTCCCTGTTGCTGGGTCTTGAGGTGGTCACCAGCCAAGGACAGTAACTGCTAAATTCTCTGTAGTGTTACAGAAATTGCAGGCTGGGGAGCAAACCTGGACCAGGTAAACATAGCTGATTTGCAGCTGACTTCACTGAAAACTCCTTTTCTGAATGGTGACAGGGTGGGGTTTTTTTTCTGGGATGTCTAGAGCATCAGCTTATGGAGCTTATATCAGTATCTTAGGGATGGGGAAGAAAATAATAGTGAGAAATTTAATCACTTGTTTTCCTTTTAAGATTAACAAATGGAAAGCGAAGCTGGACCAGATGTTGCCCTCCCCTCTGGATAGCATTGAGGCTTGGCTTCAGGAGGTGGAACATCTGCAGGCAGAAGATCTGCCTGATTTGCAGGACCCGTTTAAAGCGATGCTTGTCTTCAGAGAAATAATTGTAATATTTAAGGTATGTTGATGGCAAAGGAACGTTCTGCTTCAGTCTGACCTAGCAAAGCACTTGTAATGGAATTGCTATTTGACATTTGGGAAGTGGTGTGAATATGTTTATCTTCTGAAGATGAAAAGCTCTTCTGAACATACCTTTGAGCAATGATGAGTTTAATTAACTGCATGGGTCTATAAGGAAGGTTTCTGACTTCACTGGGGTGAGGTTAAATTTGAGTACTATCTGAATGAGTAAATTATGGTATTCTTTTATGTGGTTCCTGCAACTTGTTTGTTTGTTAAGTAATAACACAAGGTAATTGCATCCTTATCTTTAAATCTATGCTTAATGCATACCTATTCAGAAAAGCACTTGGGCTCAGGGTTACATTCCAGTGAGTTCACGAAGTTTGTATGTTTAAAGTTAAGTATTTGCTGAATCACTCTGTAATTCCATTCAAAGCAATGGGAGGTCTTTTGATAGCTCGGTACCATGCAAGTTATTTGTTCTGGTCTTGAAATCTTTACACTGATAATAGTTGTAACGTCCTTTTGAGTTTGAAAACTTTGAAAAGAGTGCATGTGTTGATGCCTGGCTGATCACTATAATGCTGTGCTTGTATTTTTTTATGAACAAGGGGCAAGTTGGATGTTTTTGTGACATGTCCTTAAAGAGAATTTGAAAGAATGGGAAATAAAGGTTCTTGTGAGCGGCTTGATAACACCACTTTTTTTGTACTGTTGCTAGTCAGTTCCTGATATGAGAGATGGCTTTTTAACTGATAAAAGATTTGCCAGACTTTAGCATTTGATCTATGATTTTTGTTGTTCAGCCTAAGTAGTTAAAGCATTTCTAGGAAGGAGACAGAGAGATGTCATTGGTTTAGAGGTTTCATTTTTCCCATTATTATTAGGTTTATTCAACAGGTTTTGCTGTCAGCCTTTGCTAACACATAGCAAAGAACAACTTAATATTCTGGAACTGTTACAATGGCACTTTTTTGTCCTAAAGATGATAGTGAAAGTGCAGAATTCATGTTCCCTTATATTTAACTAGATGCACCGTGGTAAGAGAAATCAGGTAGTACTGCACTAAATATGCACTTTACTCATTGCACTTTAGTGAGTAAAGACACTTGAAGATTGTCTTGTGCTGACTAGTTCTTAATAGCTCTCACCCTAGTGGCAGGTGACTTGCAGATTCCCAGGTGAAATACTCTAGGGTTAAAATGGATGGCTTACTATGTCTTTTTCTCCTCAGGGCTTGATGGATTGTTTTGATTCTCACTTGGACACCCTTCAATCATTTAAGAATGAAGATGAGAAGAGTACGCCACTAGTCTTGCCTGAAAAGTTAGAGGAAATGAAAAGAAGGTTGTGATACTCAAACTCCCTCTACTTTGGCTATGTTGTATTCTAGCTCTGCTATTGACTTGGTCTGCCATTCTGAACAAAGCACATAATTTTATCCATGCCTTGGCAGAAAAAGAGCGTTTTCTACCTAAGCACAGATTGACAGTCATGCAGAGCGAGCAGGTTCACTTATTGGTCCAATGAATGTCTAATTATGTGTAGAAAGTGGAGCTCATTAACAGGAACTTTTCAGATGTCCTTTGCTAGTATGGATAGGAAACACCCACTAGCCATAGGAAACATGAATATTTTTAATGTAAAAAAATTTTTTCTGGGGGTGTGGGTTCTCTAATTTTTAATTTCCACCTTTTAAAATCACTGAGATGTACAGGTTGTACAATCCCATATATCTGTTGGAGGATATTTTCAAAAATGACCAGTGAATTGTGTCTGTAATCTGAGACCCTTTGACATACAGATGGTAGATGCCCCTTTTGTGGGCATTTAAGGTTTTTCATAAATTGAGCAGTCAATATTGACTCAAAATTGTTGCAACTTAAAAAAACGAACTGTCATTATCTTAGAATTTTGCTCTTGTCATAACAAAATAATGTTTACATATATGTAATTCTGAGTTTTTAGGATAAAAGCCTTATACATTAATGCCTTCTATATCCAATGACTTTGAGTCAACTTTTGGAACATTTCACTGTTTGCAGATTCAGCAATATTTGTTTCACAAGCTCCATCACCTTTCTTGAATACCACTATGGACTGTGCTCAGCTATTGCCAATGAAGTGATGTTAAAGCTAAATATCTGGGACATGAAATATGGGACAAAAGAGTCCGTGGAATCACTGATGGAAAATTGGAATGTAAGTTTAAAATATATATATCCCAACCTGACAATAATTCTTCTTCCCCACCTCTCTTTGATTGAAGCTTGTGTCTGTCCTCATCTGAAGATACTACCATAGCTGGTAGAAGCATGGTAGACTTGTGAGATCTGTGACTTATGCAAGGAAGGACAGGTAGACTTCCATAGAAGCTCTCTCAATGTCTTCTCGTTTTCCTCTGAATGAGAGTTCTTTCTTCAGTTTGAAGAAATAGAGTGAGCTGTGACTGTTTGTAATTTTCTCTCTGCCCTTTTCTGTTCTTTATTGGGAAGATTTCATTCTTTCTAGACTATTTATAGGGCCGGCAGTAGCAGCCTTCCTTAACTCACCATGCCCTTACCAGTATCAGAGCTGTGGAAGGAGGCAACAGGAGGCTGTATAAAATACCAGTTTTCCTGAGCAGTATTAACCTTACCCTGTGGTAAGATGGGAGTACGGAGTCAATCCGTGCTGAATTTCTTGATTCAGTTGGTTTCATGAATAATTACTATCATGTAATTTGTGCAGTTGTGGTTCATGGTCTTTCTCAAGCTGACAGAATTTAGAGCTTTCCCCAGGTGTTTAAGGCTTGTTTCTGGCTCTCCTTCTGGTCCCATGATGTGCAGTTCTGGCTGAGTGGTGGCGTGGTGGCCCAGGTTTGTCATGGCTGCAGGAGAGGTGGTTTTGTAGCCTGCTAGGTAGGACGTTTGTAGGAGCTGGGAGCTGGGGTGGGGTGCAGCTCAGACAGAGGGGATGCTGAGGATCAACCCGCCCATTCCCTGTGTGAATGTTCAAAGCACAAGTCTCCTCCTCTGTTCCCATTTTTTCATCTCTCACCCTTTCTGTCCCCAGTTTGGATCTTACTTGATGTGTGACAGGAACTAGGCACATTGAAA